ATTGTGTTCACTGTGAATGGCGAGCATGGCAGACCACACCCAGCGAGCTGCTTTGTGGGGCGGCGTGAGTCTGGGGCGCCTGGCAGGGACACGAGAAGCGAATCTGGCTCTACAGAGACGGTTCCTCGCTGTCTCCTCGTTCACGTGGACATTGTCTGTCACCTCATGCGGTTTGTAGTAGTGGTACGTGACGTCACAACCTGTCTGACGATGAACCAGTCGATGCTGTCGTTTGTCAACATGGCGCTCTGGTTGAGGCCTGCCCTAAACCCTTCCTGTCACTCGCCGTCGTTCTTGCAGCCTCCATATGGCTGACAGGGACACCCCAAGTCGACCGACCTGCACCGACTGGGGAGGTGGAGCCTTCGTCGTGCCAGGCAAGGGCTCTGCCTCTGTGTACATCAGGCGGCGACCATTGTTTGGGCCATCTTGTTGTAATAAACATGGCTGAAAAACGCGGGCTTATGAAGGATTCCAAGTTAGCGATGTTCACAGCAAAGACATCTGTTTAGCACATACCAAGCTTAGTTTTAGCCTCCAGTCCCTATACCAATGTTGCTGGGGAAGAGTAATTTCGCAAATTTTTCATGTTTTTCGGCTGTGTTTTGGCATGCTCTGCAAGTCGCCCGAAGCTTGTGCAGGTAGATTTGCTGTACAGGAAGACTATGTCTAGTCGTCAGTGCCTTTGCCAAGTTTGGTTGACTGAAGTTAACAGATTTACGAGATATTGAAGTTTAGATTTGACACGTGAAAACACAAGTCGTTCCTTGACTTTTTTGTGCGAGGTTATGAAGATCAAATTTGTTCATCAGCTTGGTGTGTTATTGTGAGTGCCAGTGCTGTGTTTTTGTTTTTTAGTTAGTTAGTTTGTTTGTTTGTTTGTTTTTTGTAAGTGTTTTACGGACCTCGCAGCTGCGTAAGGTCTTATGAGCGGGCAGGACACATTAAATATTTTAAGTTGGTAGGAAATACTGAATTTTGCCAGGGTGGGGTCCGAATCCTACTCTTATCGATTTTGGACCGCCAAGGGATCTTTAACGTGCGCAACTTGCACATGGGACGTCCGAGATTTATCGCCATTGTCCGAGAAGGCTAGGCGTAAATCTTTCCTACAATAAGATCAGGGGTGTGGCTGGAAGACAGCAGTAGGGAGGAGCCAAGAGGTAGCAGTAGAAAGGCTGCAGAAAGAGTCTGGAGCCCAAAGGAGAGGGCAAAGTAAATGAGTGGGAGGGGACAGAAAATGGAGACGAAGGCAGACGATAGAATATTGCCATAGAGCAGGAAAGGATAGCGCTGTGTGTAGAAATTTGTAATCATCATCTTGACTTGCTGTTGTAAGTGGCAGCGCTGTGTGTAACACATTATCCTGTGCACTCCCCAGGTCTGTCAGGGCAAGACTTCCAGTTCTTGGACAACGGAGACGGACC